AAAAAAAAAAAAAAAAAAACTTTAGTGAGTCCATGCTGTGTGCCCAGACCAGTGTGGGGAGACAGGATTCTGAAGGCAGAGCTGTTGCAGAAGGCACCACAGTTAGTTCTCAAGAAGTGCTTACTCCATTGAGATGTGTTAGACTAGAAAACAGGTTGTCAAAGAGAATTATAACAACCAGCACTTGTTGTGTACCAGGCCCTTGCATGCACACTATCTTTTGTAATCCTCAGAACAACCCCATGAGGTAGGTGTTTTCATCCTTATTTCACAGATAAGGACACAAAGGTAAAGGAAGGTGGAGGGACTTGTCCAAGGGTCACACAGTTACTAAGTGACAGATCTGGCCTTTAAGCCAGGCCAGGCTAACTTCAGAACCCATACTCTTTCTCATAAACTCTACTGCCTTGGATAAAATTATAGCTTTTCTTTTCATGGGTGTTATTAGAAATAGTGAAATTCAAAATTGGTCTCTCTTCTCCTTTAGCCCCTCCTCCTCCTCCCCTTTCCTATCAACTGACAACTCTTTTCCCTTTCTTTCTTCCCAGGGCTTTCCATTGTCTTCTGATTTGTTCTTTTCCACCTTCCTTATCTTTGTAGAGGGAACTCTGGTAGCCTAGTGCCTAAGGCATTAGACTGTTAACTAGAAGGCTGGCGGTTCAAACCCACCAGCCACTCCTCGGAAGGAAGTTTGGGCAATCTACTTCCGTAATGATACTGCCTCGGAAACCCAAGGAGGGGTCATTATGAGTCAGATCCGAATCGATGGCAGTGCTTTGTTTTGTTTGGGGGAGTTAATCTTTGTAGAAAGAGCTTTGGTGGCGCACTGGTTAAGGCATTTGGCTGCTGACCAAAAAGTCGGTGGTTTGAACCCAGTCTGTTTCTGTGGAGATTTACAGCCTTGGAAACCCAATGGGGGTCGCTATGAGTTGGAGTTGACTCAATGGCACTGAATTTGGTTTGAGTTTTATCTTTGTAGGGCTGCTTACTCTTACTCCAAAGCAAATCCCAGCTGTGCTCTTTGCCCCTCAGGGATGTCCCCACAGACAGCATGGCTACTCCTGAGTTCCTAGGTTCTTGTCTCTCTCTGTTTCTCATCTTCTTGAACCCTCTAGGGCATAAGTCATTACTTCCCTTTGATGTACCTAATGACCCTTGTCTTGGCACTGGGATCTCAAATTTTTCCTTCCACTTTGGAAGAGGAACTGATCGTTATGTCAATATCAATACCTCAAGGGTTTCATTTAAGATTCCAACAACCACAAAAATAACCAGAGAAATGACCTGATTTTTAAATTAAAACAATTTTAATGACTTTGGGTTAAAGTCCAGGTATTGATATGCTCTTTGTTACTCCAGGCAAGTTTTCCCCTCACGTTTAATTAGACAGGAGCTCTCAGTTCATGTCAGGCTTTAACTCTGTCCTCAGATTCAAATTTGCCCCAGCACTCAAGCACAGTTCAAAATCAGGGGATCACACTTAGTCCTTAAAACAATCCTGTAATATTATCCCTATTTCTCAGACAAGGAAATTGAGGCTCAGAGAGATTAATTGACTTGTCCTCAGTGACAGTTGCACTACAGCTAAGTGGTAGAGTCAAATTTCAAATTTATTTTTGTCTGACCTCAAAGCCTTTGTATATAGTACTGCCTTTGGCAGTCTCTCTGCCTTTAAGGTGTTCACATTCTAGCTGAGACCAGGACCATGTCTTAAAAACTCCCTCCTGTGCAATTGTACATGTGGACAGGAACCATGTGCATGTACACACACATTTATCAAGTCTACCTTTCTTTCACTTCTTTCTCTATCTCTCCCACTAACTACAAGAAAACCCTTGTATTTTTTTACTTTGGGATAGAGGAGCCTGGTTGAGCTGGATGAGGTTACATTCAGACTCCATACTCCCTACCTCACATCACAGGCAGCCCTAGATTCTCTCAGTGGCATTCATGAACATATCTTCACAGGCAACCCATTACCTAGCCTCTGGTCAGGAAAGGACATAGGATATTTTTTGAGATTTCCTTCTAAATTTCTGGCTGACTTCATCAGTTTGTGTGGCTAAGGACAAACTCTTAAGGCTCTATTCTTCTTCCCTAACTTCTCTTCCCTGTGGCTCTATAACATCTCACTCATTGGAGTTATCCTCTTCCCCGCTGCCATACATACTCTGTGGCCAGGATTGGGTTGGATCCAGTCTAGCTCATTACAACTTTCTCCTTCCCTCACTCTGCTGTGGTCTTTTCATAGAACTTCTGCTAATGTTAACTCCTTTACCCACTGTTTGGACTATACCCCTTTACTCCTCCATTACTCATCTGACATCCTGCTGCTCTCTACTTAAGCCTATTGTAACAGCAACCATTTATGGAATGACGACTGTGTGCTAAGAGTCATATGTTCATCAACTCTCACCCTCACAACAAACCTGTGAGCTACAGATTGCCGTCTCAAATTCACAAATGAAAAAAATGGAGGGTTGTAGAAGTTGAGCAAGTTATCATACAGCTGGTAAGTGCTGGGGCTCAGATTAGGACTCATGAGCCTCTCAGTAAAGCCTGGGTCCTTTCCCCATTGCTATGCAGTATCCTCATTTATACTTGTCTCAAGTCAAACCCCTCTTATCTCTATTCTCCTCTCCTCATTTCATTTTCTAAGTCTATTTCTAATGGCATTCTGCTGTGCCATTCCCAACAGCTGGAACAACTTCCTAACAGCTGGAGAGGCACCCCTCCACCAGATCTCCAAACCATCAGGACTCCAACTTCACCTTGAGTGTGCCTGCCTTCCTCAAGAAAATGGAAGTGCCTGTTCCCAAATCTTCAATCCTGTTGACTGGCCCTCTGCTGCCTACCAAGCACACAGTATTCCTCTACCTGCACCCCCTATATTGACTGCAAACC